CATACTGACATAAATGAACATTTGCACAATATTCTAATTTTTCGAGTTTCACCTGTATATACACCCTTCATATGTTGTCTTTTTGTTCTTGAAATTTATCACCTTTCTCAAGATCTCAGTACCTGCCTCCAGCAATGACTTCCTCCATTTTCTTCTTCTTCTCAAGCCATTCACCCTTGCTTTATAGTTCTGTTTTGCAATTCAGTCCTTATTCATTCTCTCTATATCATCAAATCTACTCAGGGTACTTCTTCTAGCAGCCAATGTATGTGCTAGTAAGTTACGTATATTTCCTAGCTGGTGGGATATAGGCAACAATATGTTGGCCTGCAAGGCAGCCTCCAGGTGAGAGAACCTTGCATAGAATTCCCTGACCAGGCCTGAGGTAAAATTGGCTTTCATTTCACTCAAAGGACACTGTGCCATAAAAGGCTAGTATCGTCCTTACTCCTGGCAAATAATACTGCATTGAGTATGAAAATGACTAAGGCAGGTCATCCCATTTCTGTCTTACTAAAAAGCTGCTTCTGAGAGCAAGGCTAGAGCAATACATATGTTCCCATGAAGCCTCATATGAAAGTCACTGATATTGGTTTTAAAATGTAGAATTATATGTATAATTGGTAAGGGTTTTTTATCTCAGCTTTCTATTCTAGCAAGTATTTGAAGGTATCTAAGATTTTTATAAAAAGCAAAGTGTCAGAAAAGTTTAAAACATTAATTCAAATGAATACTAAAAGGAACAGTTAAAAAGCCTGGACCTCTACAGCGTTTCCAAGGTGAGGGAGAGTGAGGGTCAAATGAAATTCCAATACTTGGGAACAGTGCTGCTGAAGGCCTTCTCCCAAGGACTACAAATACAGCAGGGACATAATTAAAAGGCCTCTTTGTTGCCTCTGTATTGACCAACAGCTGGACAGGTTTATAATGAAGACCTTAGTCACATGCTAAGCCATGTAGGCCTCTAAAGGGTAACATTAACATTTTAATTGTGCCAGAGAAACCACTGGCAAACAGTGCAAATCTTTCAGTACCAACAGTTGTTGGTACTGAACCATCTGCCTTTTATTTCCTGGTTGTTATTCTTATATATTTTATGCTGTATGTATGTGCTATAATGATATGATGCTATAGAAGAGTTGTTCTTGTTGGGCTTTATATCCCAACATATGAACAATTGTATGAAATATAAGTACTGTCCTGCATACCTGTGCCACTGAAGATACACAGGCCTGGTACCATTGTTTTCCCAGACGTTCTCTTATCTCTTGCAAGTATTCAAACAAAAGTGTTCTATTGCTCTGTATCTCATTCTTTGGTAATCTTAACAAGCTTCAAAAATTCAAAACAGAAGCTATGCCATATTTCTTGTCTGCCAAGTTAACATTTTTGAGAGGAGGGCAAAAGCTCCAAGATGGAGTTTGAAAGGAATGCAAAAGCACTGTGCAGTGTCTTTCCTCAAAAAGCAGAAAAGTTTTATTCAAATATACATTCCATAATGGTCATCTTTATCATCAGTTTAAGGCTATGCTGCTCTTCCCGTGGTAAAACAAGCTTAATGTAGCTGACAAGAACTGCAGAAAGGTTTAGGTAATAAAAAATAGCAGCCTTTTAAGAGCATTCACTAACAGAAGGCATCACATTTTAGTAGTTGTACAAATATTAATAGGCCCATTAAAGCATCTCATTAATAAGTATATGACAAGATTAATCCATCCATTAATCATTATACTCGGGCTTAACATAATTCAAATAGTATTAAAACAAAGAAATTCAATATTATCTAACTTCTTTAACAACAATTTAACAACAATTCTTCAGCAAGGGTTTTTTTGTCTGGACAGATGGAATCCCAACCAAAAGGGGGCTGCAAGAAAAGCAGATAACTCAGCATCATCAACTTGGGCTCCAGATACTGTTGGCAGCAGTGGTCTTATATGGCTAGATTCAGAATCTGCAAAGAACCAAGCAGTGAAGAAACCAGACTTTGTAGAGGTCGCACTTACACTCTAGGCCAGGGGGTTTGAAATATTTTCATACTGTGGAATCTGTCAATTAAAAAAGAAAGATCTTGAAACACTTGATCAAGAGGCAAAACACCTGTGATAGAAAATTGGCTGCCTTCAAGTGATTTTTTTCCCCCATTACATTCTTGCAGTACCTCATCAAGTTCTCATAAAACCCAATTTGGAAACCACTGCTCTAGGCTACCTTTTTAGTTAGAACCCATCAGAATCTTATTCCTGTTGGAAATGACCAGCTTCGTGGTCTTTTTAGGAGCAGATGTCTGGCATTTGATTGGGGAAGCATTTTGCATTTTGTATCTTATAACTCTGTACAGCTCTTTATTACAAGCACAATATTGTATTAACTAATTATGTTTGGCCTCTGTTAAGAATCTGATACCTTTTAAACTGGCTATCCCTGCCCTTTGCAAATCTCTTTAAATCCTATTGAGAGGTTTAAACATTGTGGACAATGTTATCTGTGCAATCAGATTCAATCTATTCCATCACTGAAATATCTTGCAAGCTTTTGTTCCTAATGAAGAATAAAGTGTGTGGTTAACCATATACAATTTCTCATTATTGAAGATAGAAAATGACAACCTGGGTCTGTATAATAAAGCATCTTTTCCTCTTCCGGCCCCCGCTCCCTGTCTTGTTCTTTATAAACTCTTTAATTTCATCCCTTAGGCTTTGCTTGTCATATTTAATATGTAGGGGGCCTTCACTGGGTTAAGGCTGTACTTCTGCTTTGGTTTACATGCAAAATTACTTTTATATGGAATTCTACTGTGGCCCTTTATGATACTGATCCATATTACTATGCAAGTGAGGGAATGTGAAAGTTTTATTCTTCTGATTTGTTGAAATTTTTAATCCAGTTTATATAGTTCAAGGATTATAGTTCAGGAATGAAAACAGTAAAAATGTATGTCATAAGGAACCAGCCTTTAAAATATTTCATGCAGATGTATAAAAGATAAGTTATTGGTAAATAAAATGTTTTGTGCAAATGGGTAAATGAGAGAAGGAAAGAAGTAAAACAGAATAAAATATTTGAAAAAAAGAAAATTACTTTTTCAGAATACTCTGAAAATAAAGATATATTCTGAAAAGAAGGAATGTTATGTTCATCTTTTTAAATTCTTTTCTCCAATCTCTAAGTACACCCTGGACTCTGCTTCGTGCAATCAAGATCAACATTTCCTTATTTATATATTCTTTTATTATACTGTAACTAAAGTTATATTTCAGACCTGTAGGGAGAAAATGTGATGAGTCCCAGACACTGGATTTTATCACTAAATGCTTTACAGCAATGAAAAACAAATGAGCATGAATTATATTGTCTCTAATCTTGAGGTGTATACACAACATCATTTAGCAACAGTGAAAGGTACTGATTTATAGAGGGCAATGTAATCTGTTGTTAAGTTTTTGTCAAGAATTGTCAGAGGAAATTCTAGCTAAGTTTTGCTCCAGGTCAAGTTTTGCCTTATAGGTATATAGATTAAATAGAAAGCAGAAGAAAATGCTAAATGGAAGAGAGAAGAAACATAAAAGCAATTGCATTGTAACCAAATGACTGACTTTTCTCCCTTTTTGGGTCTGGGTGTATGGCACTTAATTGAATTCAGAAAAGACATCAGTGTTGTGTATGGATGGTTTTCAGAGTCAGGAAATTCGTATTTCTCCTCTGAGGACAGAATATTTGGGGAAAATTGAAATTCAGGAATATAGACCACATGGACTTGGTGGTACAAGAGTACCTTCTCCCCGTTTGGGCTGTTTTGTTCACTTGGGAATTTCTAACTTGTGTCAGCTTTAATTAAGGCTTTAAACTTTCCTTTAGTATTTATTTTGTAAGTTTAGGTTCTACTCAGACCTGAAATTCTGACAGGATGTAAAAGATGATATAAACTTGTTTTAAATAAATAAAGGACTTTATTAATAACATCACCAGAAATCCAACTGCAGGGTTTGTAGAAAGCCTGCCTCATGGATAATTCTGTTGAAACACAGTTATGGACTTGATAAATTATAACTAAATATGGTCCGTGAATTTAACAGAGGCCCATCTCAAGATTTAAAGAAAGAATGGCTTTCCTTAATAAAGTTGAACTAATATTTTTGCAATTGCCCCACTAGATAGTTTGCTCTGGTATGATGTAACCAGGCTGCATGATTAAGAGACTGGTATACATACTTCTCAGTCTGAAAGTTTCCTGCCTGTCATAGAAATTTGACCTCCTTTCTTCGCTTGAGATCTCTGTATATTAAAAACTAATTTTGCTTTGTTTATTCGTTTTGAAGTAACACTAAGACAAACTTCGGAAATCATTCTTATTGAATTCTGTCTTACTAGCCTAAATCCTTATATCTTTGCTATTATTAAACATGTTACATGTTTTTCCTGGTTAATCCTGAATGAAACTTTCCCTTTTGAAGTTATACTGATGCAGCTGTTTGTGTAATGGCTAACTACGTATGTTGCTTTCAACAAAGAGGTATCTATGGATATCTGTTACATAGAAAGAAATAGATTTTATGTATAAGTTGGCTATCCTATCAGGTTGTTCCATGGATTAAACAGTTAAAGACTGAAACTCAAGAGACAGGTCTCCTGTGCTATTTATTTGTGTACATGTTTGGCTGTAATAAGTATAGTTTTTTTAAGTCAGACCATGAAGCTCTGGTGTAAAGCTTACTGGTACCCTTTGACTTTTGCTGTATTGATGGGTAGCAATAAAATAATCCCATGCATGTTTGTGGGGGGAAGATTACTTGACTTTATTAAAATTTGACACCAGGTTCCACCAGTTTTCTTGCCTACAGTCAGATGGAGCACTTTTTCAAAGCATTAATAAAGTTTAATCCATTAAATTGTATGACCAGTAGGTCATTTTTTAAAAAAGCTACTGTATTGTGCTTAGTCTTTTCTTGATATGTAATCTTTTTTTTTTCCCCTGCCTTTTTCATAGCTGTCATGAACCTGGACAACTCTGTGGTAGACTTAGAGACTCTTCAAGCCCTTTATGAGAATGTGAGTAACAAGGCAAAAATATACATGCACTAATTATAGTTTACAATGTTTGCCAGAAAATGGGAGAATTATAATTGTGACTGATTGTATTGCTGTGGTAAAACAATATCGCAGTGACAATCAAATGTAAATGCCATGCAAAATTGAAGGAATGTTACCAATTGTGAAATTGGACAGGCCTGGGTTCAGTATTATAAATTAGGGTTAGATTTACTAATAGAGCAGTCATACAAAGGTGGAGAAGCCAGGATGGATTAATTACCAGAAGGCAAGATTTGTCGGGCTTGTGCCAAAAGGGGGAAAGATAGAAAAAACTGCATTTTTCCTTCCAGCCTTTCTCTTTCTTTTTAAATTTGTTGCTCCCATTAAGTTATGTGCCAATTTATGCCCAGTGCACTCTTCCCCATTCTGACTGTATGTTGGAGGGGCATACAGGATTTTATCCTTCTAGGATCCTTCTAGGATCCATATGATTCCTCCCTAAGGCATGTGATATAATATACTGGAAAAACATCATGGTAAAATATATTTGTACCAAACCAAATTTTGATTTATACTTATATTTGTTTGTGTGTGTTTAAAATCACTTGGTGATTTTATTGCACAATAGCTAAATTACATTTCAATTTCTTGTAGCATTTAAAAATTCACTACAACAGATTTTATTGTGTAGTCAGACATCTTTGCTTTTTATATTTTTATCTATCACACAGGCATACATTTAAATAACTATTTTAAGTCATTTATATCCCTGTATGTTTAAGTTATCATACCAAGTTATTCTACATTCTACATTATTTTTATTCTCCATATTCTTTGACCTGTTTTCATGTTAATACTGCAAAGTTTTCATTTCATAAATTATAAATTATATTCTTATCTAAACAATACATTAAAGAACAAATAAAGTCCCAACCACTTGCAATGCAAACAAAAATATACTTTAAAATGCATTGTGAACTAATAAATTCTAGGGAAATAAGGAAAGGACAGATTGGTCAACCATTTGCTGCAATTTCTATGTGATGTTCCTTCTGAAAGCCTTGCCATGTGGCAGAAGTATTATCTAATCTAATATTTACGTATCTTGGCTAGTAAGGTGAGCTAGGAACAAATAGCTTCCATTAAAAAATCAATTTTGTTTTGTTGTCTACTTTAGTGACCCAATATTCTGAACCTTCATTTTTCAATACAGGTTTTTTAAAAAACATCTGTACAATTGTGTCAATATTTCATCCACACTGGCTAAAAACTTCTGCCATAAAACATGGCTAAAGTAGTAATTATGTTTTAACAACTAAAACTTTAAAAACTTATTAAAATAATTACACAATTTGTTTTCAGTTTGAGCAAACAAGGCAACCATCTAAGAAACATTCATATAAAACTCACTTAGTGGTTCAGCAATTAAAGCCTCAGAAGCTTTATCACTTTATCACTGCTATCTTGTCAGGTACCATTTAGGGGACCACATTTACTTTTTAAGTGTGTAAGTTACATGACTGCTTTTCAGGAGAAGGAGTGTTTAAATTAGACAAGAACCAGTTTGTCTCCTGGGTCATCATCTCAAAAGTGGCCAGTTACAGCCAGAGGAATAGAAGTGAGGGCAACACAGCAGTAATAGCCACTGGGCTCTCTGTGGCCATGTGGCTTTGCTGCCCAGAGGCAAGAAGCAACTGATATCTGAGAAGTTGATTTCATTGGCTGTCAGGGACTTGGGAAGCACCAACATTAGAAAAAGGTGGTGGGAGAAAAAGAGGGAGACGCAGACTCCATCACTGCCTGCTGCCAAAAATCCCGTGCTGAGTGCCCCAAATATAACTGCTAGAAAAGACCTACAGGAAGAGAAATAGTAAGATTCCCATGGATCTGCTGCACGGTCCAGCCGAGGCCTTGGCTGCTGCTTGGAATAGGGAGGCAGCTGGGGCCTTGAAAAGTATTCCGCCCAACCAACCTCTCTTGCCACATCGGCCCCGACACTCCCCGTGGTTTATGGAGGAGTTGAGGGTGCTGAAGAGGGTCATGAGAGTGCCACTGGAGGAAGACATGGACCGAATCTGACCGAACACATGTTAGAGATGCTATTAAGGCTACATTGTGGCCATAAGAGCGGCGAAGCACCAATACTTCTCCGCCCTTATCATGTCCGCAGAGTGCTGCCCAGCGGCCCTGTTTGGGATCACCAGATCCCTCCTCAGTAAGGGGGATCTGGAGATTCATTTGCAGGGCCGCATGGAGGAATTTTCAGAGCACCTGCAGGATAAAATCACTCAGATTTGTTCCAAGTTGGACTCCGAGCGTGGCGCAGGGTCTGGGGAGATACCAGGGGATTGTTCTTGCCCAGTTATCTGGGAACAGTTTGATCCTGTTGTTCTTGAGGAAGTGGACAGGATCCTCCAGATTGTGAGGGGCACCACTTGTCATCTGGA